TCCCGCCCAGAGCCCATACTACCACCTCTGGGGACCAGAAGGTGTGCATCCAGCTGAGCGGAGGTGACTCCGGTCTGGCCCTGAAACTGTGCAAATTGAGGAAGCTTTAGGTCTACCTGAGAGGAGCGTGGCAAGCCTCTTTTAATCCAGGGGATCTGCTGCCAAGGAGGGAGCTACTCAAAGAGGAGTCCCAAGAGCCCAGGACATAAGAGTCAATTTACAACACAATCAGGGGAAACTCTGAAACAACACTTGAAACACAGTAATGTAGGGAAATCACAAAACGAAAGACCAAAATGCAATCTCAAACACCAACCCATCCCCCCAAGAAAGCCTAGGAGCCATGTACATAGAAGAAAATACATGCCATATACCTGAAATACCTGAAAAAATAGTAATAGAAATAAAGAAGCAGCTCTGGGAAGCCTTGAAAGAATTCAAACTAGAAATAATATATCAGGTAAAAGATGAAATAATAAAAGAAATGAAGGAGATGCTGAACATATCTAAAGAAGTCACAGCTAAAAAATTGGATGAACTAAACAAAAGGATAGAATCTCTGGATAAACAATATAAGAAAAAACAGAATATATAAAACAGATGCAAAGAGATATACAGGAAATCAAAAGCAACATTGAAAGTTGTAAAAACCGCCTGAATGAATGTGAAGATAGAATTTCAGTCCTCGAATACAAGATTGCAGCCAGTGAACAGGAAAGGAAAGATCTTTTAAAAATAACAAGAAATCAAAAAATAACAATACAACACCTGCAAGATGACGCAAAGAAAAACAACATCAGGTTGATGGGGATAAATGAAAAAGAAAGAGACAATACAAAGGATGTCAAGAGGATATTTAGAGAATTAATTGCTGAAAACTTCCCAAACATGAAATTGGAAACTGATATCAGGATCAATGAGGCATATAGAACTCCAAATAGCCATAACCAAAATAAAACTACACGCAGATATATAATAATCACCATCCCAGAAATTGAATAAAAGAATAGAATATTAAAAGCTGTCAGAGATAAAAGACAGATCACCTATAAAGGAAAACCTATCAGAATCACAGCAGACCTCTAAACACAAACAATAAAGGCAAGAAGAGCATGGAATGAAGTATTTCAGACCCTAAAGGAAAATGATTTCCAACCTAGACTGATGTACCCTGCAAAACTGTCCTTCAAAATTGATGGAGAAATAAGATACTTCCATGACAAACAACAGCTGAAGAAATTCATGATCACCAAGTCAATCCTGCAAATAATACTGAAAGACAGTCTAGACACACTTAAGAAAAAAACACTTAACAAAGTAGACAATTAAATAGAACAGAAGGATAAAGATGCAACAGCACAAATATAACATGTCACTAATAAACCAATATATAACACTTAAAATCATTAATGTTAATGGTCTCTTTTTTAAAAATTTTATTTAAAAGGAAAAAGAGAAAAACACAAAACAAAGCGGTGTAAGGGTACATGTAATACAGAACTACAAAAAAAAAAAAAAAAAAAAACCAAAAAAACAAAAAAACAAAAAACCTAACCCTAACCCTAACCCTAACTCTAAGGACTTCTATCTAAAACATACAAAGAATTAAAAAAAATCAGACCCCCAAAATTCAAAGACCCCATCCAAAAATGGGCATCGGAGATGAATAAACAATTTTCAGATGAAGAAATACAAATGGCAAATAAATATATGAAAAAATGTTCAGCATCACTAGTCATTAGAGAAATGCAAATTAAACCACACTGAGATTCCATCTCACTCCTGAAAGAATGGCCAAGATAAGAAAACCACCAATAACAAATGCTGGAGAGGCTGTGGGGAAAAAGGAACACTCCTGCACTGTTGGTGGGAGTGTAGACTGGTGCAACCATTGTGGAGGTCAGTCTGGAGATTTCTCAGAACGCTGGGACTGGAAGCACCATTTGACCCAGCTATTCCACTCCTAGGCATATTCCCAGAAGAACTGAATGCATCATACCACAGTGATATATGTGCACCCATGTTTATAGCAGCACAATTTATAATCGCAAGATCTTGGAAACAACCTAAGTGTCCATCAACTGAGGAATGGATAAAAAAGTTGTGGTATTTTTGTACAATGGAGTACTACTCAGCTATAAAGAATGATCACATTAAGACATTTATAAATAAATGGACGCAGCTTGAGACAATACTTATAAGTGAGATAAATCAAACTCACCTGTATAAATACCGAATAGTTTCCCTAGTGTAAGAAACGATAAAAATACATGAAAGTACGTGGTAATCATGATTCCCAGTCACACTGGTTTGAAGCCATACAAAGTTTTCACTCATTACTTGGAATGGTTTTAATTTGGGTGTTTTTATTTTATTGTCTGTGATACTACAAATGACTATTTTGAAGAGAATAAGAGCATAATAGCTAGCGCTGATTTAATATCATCCTGTTTTGAAGCCCCATCAAGTTTTTGTTCATTTGTTTCCATTGGTTCTAACATGTGGTACCTTATTATATCTTAATGTATGCGATAGTATAAGCAAGTTTTTTATAGACAAAGAGATAATATAGAAATTGATGTTTTGTTTTTGCTAGCTGGTTCTAAATTCCCTGCAACAATTTCATTCTCTTGAACGGTCTCACACTGTCTTGATAAATTTGCTGCTATAGTATACGAAGTTAGACTCAAATATTTCAAGGAAAGAGTTACTATTAATGTCAAGCTATCTGGGTTTGAAACACAATGATGGTTAAATTTTTCGATTCTGACCGGTGTTGTTATATTGATATGTTCTTTTTTTTTTTTTTAATCTCAGTCTGCCCCCTTTTTCTTTCCTTTTTTTTTAATTAATTTATTTCTTAGTATCTTTTAACTAAGGGAAAATTAAATTAAAAATAGTGTGATAGATTATACTAATTTATTGTTTGTTTCCCTATTAACCTGATTTGAACCCCTGTAGTGTTCTCCATATCTAGTTCTGACTGATTTTATTATATTCTGTTTTGCTTAATAGTATCAAGTTTGAGGGTATAGGCAACCATTTGGAAGGCAACCAGATATTCTATGATGCCCGTTATTATTTAACTATTATCTTCTTTGGAATCCTGTAAGCTCTCTAATGTGGTTTTATTGGTCTTATGTACAGTTTTGTTCAATTCTTTTGTACTAGCTGATATAGGCTACTCTTTTTAGGATAACAAGAGGAATAATGATAACCATTGTTGATCACCTAGTAAACCCCCCCTTTATTTTTTTTTATTTTTAATTTTTTTTTAATTTTATGCTATGTCAATCCTCCTGATCTAAATGACTCTGTTTTGCTTTGTCACATTGGGTTTTTCTTTGGTCCGTCTTGCATTGTTTTTTGTTTTTTTGGCCTTTTTTTTCAAACTTTTTCTTTTCATCTTCAAAGAAAAAAATTTAAAAAAAACCTGTGGAAGTAATGGAAACTAAAATGCACAATTGTTAGTGTAAAAAAGAGGAAGGAAAGTGATCTCAAGGATATACCTGCAAGTTTATTTAAATGTGTAGGAAAGAGAACCATATTGCTGAAGCTTTCTTGGATGATTGAACAGAACTGACTGCAATCTCACTGTATTAATCTCCACTTTGTATGGTTTAATTTGGTAATCTGGACAGCTGTTTGTAAGTTGACAATGTGTGATCTATTAACTGGTGAATTCTTGCTGTATGTTTTCTCTTTTGAAATTCTGTGTTGCTTCTAGCCTTTTACTGTCTTGCTTCATTTAGTTTTGTTTTTCTCTTTAAAAACAAAAAACTTATTGGCTGAGCAAGGAATGGTGAAAATGCCTGTAATGCCTGTACTCAAGTGGCTGAGGCAGCAGGGTTCCTGGGAGTTCCAGACAAGCCTGCAACATATTCTGAGTTCAGCTCAGACTACAATGACACAGGGAGACCCTGACTATAAAAAGAAAATGAAAAAATAGGGAAGAAAAGAAAGGAAAGAAGAAACAAAATAAAATTCCTAGTGATTTTGTCACTTGGTGTTCATCTGGGCAAGCTGTTTTAGTCTGTGGTCCTTTTCTTCCAGTGTAAAACCCTTTTGACTACTGTTACTTTATGGTACCTGGAAACTAGTATTTTGATGCCTCTACTTTTAATGTTCTTTCTATGGCTATAGGATGACTCTTTGTACTTCCTTGTGAATTTTCATATTTTTTTTAATGTTTCTAGGAAAATGTCACTGATACTTTGACAGGAATGGCGCTGAAACACCTGGTTGCTCTGGGTAGCATGTACATTATAATATGAATTCTCCCCATCCCTCATCACAGTATGGCTTTTCTTCTGTTAGTGCTCTTCTACTTATTGCATTCCAAGAAGATGTGAGTTTGCTTCAATTTCCCTAATCATTAGTTATTTTTGATTATTTGTGAAATGAATTGTGTTCTTTGTATTTGAGGCTACAATTTGTTTGTAGTATGTAGTAATGAATTGATTAGGGCATGTTGCTCAAGTATCCTGCAATTTAAGTGATTTGTGAATTTGTTCTATAAGGTTGTCAACGGAGTTTAAATTTCTTATATACAATGCTGCACCCTCAGGAGAGCTGCAACAACAATTAATTCTTCCTTTCTGCTTTGGAAGGCTTTGCTTTCTCTTTCTGGATTAAATTCTATGGCCAGGGCTTCGAGTACTGTATGTTGAAAAGAGTTGCAAGCCTTGTCTCCTTCCTGACCCTAGAAGCTAAGCTTGCAGCTTGTCAGCCCCTGAGCACCATGACAAGGGTGGAGTTTGTCATGCTGTGCTGAGGTCCATTCCTCCTACTTACAGTCTATGAATGATTTTTATCATGAAAAAACGGTGACCTTTTGAGGTTCTCAAAGCTGTTTTTCCAAATCTCTTCAGGGGTTAGCTGTGCCTTATGCTGTGAATGTGGTAAGTGACACTTAATAGTTTGTGTGATAGGGAACATTCTTGCACCACTGAGATTGAGCCCAGTGTTGATTTTTTTTTTTTTGTCTTTTTCCTTTTTAGCGGTACCAGGGATCGAACTCACGACTGCCTGCTTGCAAGGCAGGTGCTTATGCCGCTGAGCTAAATCCCCAGCCCCGAGCCCAGTGTTGATTATGTTGTTTAATTTTGAACATGCTGGTGAGATTATGTGTCAAACATTTACCTGAATAATTTTGTGTGTGTTCCTTAGGAATATTAGCCAACAGAGTGTTTTCATTTATATTATTTTTAACACATTATTGTCTGGCTTCATTCTCAGGATTATTTTGTTACTTAAAAGAAGTTGATGGTGGTTTTTCCTTCAACTTGATTGAAGAATTGAAAAACAATCAGTATTTATTCTTTATTGTATACTGCATAAAATTCACCAGTGCACTTATTGTATCCCAGCTTTGTTGTTGTTATTAAGCAGCTGTGATGTTTACCCATTGCCTGTGCTCCTTATTGCTCTGTTAATCAGACTATTTCCTTCTGATGCATGTGGTTTGGGGACATCAATGCTCACCACATATCCTTTAAGGTTCATGTCACATTTTATTTACGGATGCTACCATTTACTTTTGTATCTTCAAACTATCTCCATAATATATAATTTTGTGAGTAACTTCTTTCAGTTACTCAGTTTTTAATGCACACTCTTGCAGGGTTTGTTTACTGCTGGAGGAAACTGGGGCTGGTGAGGGCCTGGTCTCTTATTTAAGACTTTGTACCCTGACCTGCCTGCAGTGTCCCCATCTCCTGACCTGCTCCCTGTAAACATCTGTCCTCCTCCATAGATATGGTGAGTCCATATGTTGCAGTTCAGATCTGCACCTGGGTGGAAAACATTCAGTCAATTTGAGCTCTGTAACAGACTGACCTTCTCATACAGAGCTCCTCTGAGTGAGACAGGGGGCCTCAGGGATGTAAGGAGGAGCTCAGGAACCATTCCAGCTCTCTCCTGTCCAGTGTGCAGTGTGTGACACTTTCCTTAGAACTCACTGATGGATGAGGCAGCCTGGACTAGGCCTTTTGGGGCCCTGGTTCCTGCTAGGTGCCATGGTGTCCTGCTCCTCTGCTGAACTATCTCTCTGACTTCAGATCTCCACAGAGATCTGAGCAGACTCAGTCTTCCTCTACCAGGCTCTAACTGTATGCTGAGGCTTCAGGTGAAATATCTGCGACCCTCCAATTCATCTTATATACATTTAACCTGGAAACTCCACTTCTAAGGGTCATTATAAAAAATGAGATTGATAAACACCATATTCTCTTCTTAATCAGTTAAGGTGTGGACAGTTAGAAACCATGAATGTACCACAGCACAGCTGCTGAGTTAATTATAAATGACAGCCACTGAAAATGCTGAAAGAAGACCATGTCCTAGGCCAAGTCCATGATCTTTCCTGAGATGGAAGAGAGCTTGTGTCCTGGCTCTCTCTCCACCCAGCAGTGAAGAGACACAGGCCTGCACAGCAGGTGAGAACAGGACAGAGGAGCTGGTCAATGGCAGACCTCTCATCCTGGGAGGGAAGCCTTTGGGGTTTCTCCATTTTATTTTCCACTGCATTATTTATAGTGCTCCACTCAATATTACTTCTCTCCTGATCAATTCACTTAAGAATAAATAGTTGGTATTTTCTTGAATAGGTGAGTGGAAATGGATGATTTAATTTTCTTTTATCTGTAATGTAGGATAAGCATATAGAAGAACATTCAAGCTTCACTTTATAGATATATAAAATAAGGAGTCTTTTTATTCAGAAAGGCAACACATCATTCATGACTAACTTTTAAACCCCCAACACATAAAGCCATGTGGATTCCGCTGGGGTGGGTGTCCTTCCCTCCCTACCTGAGAAGTCACTGTGCCCATCTGTGTCTGGTAGAGGACACCCAGAATCTTCTTCAGAGTCTCTTTTTCCAGCAAGGAGGACTTGAATCTTCCTGTGCTCAGGCCACGCAGGGAGTGTGCAGCATGCAGAGGAGCCCAGCACCTCCTGCCTTACACCCTTTTCCACCACTGCATCCATGCTGCAGCCCTGCAGGTCCAATAAGGCAGAGCCACGAGGGTGCAGCACAGACTCTGCCACCTCAGCCCCAGGGGCCTCAACTCCTGGGTCCTGGCCTCAGCCTCCACCAGGCTCCAGGCTCTGCCATGGATTGGACATTCATAGTGGGCCACACACACCATCAGTGCCTTTGGGCAAAGTCCATTTTCCACAGCGACACTTCCATTCTGCAAATTTTGATTCTTTCCTTTGTAAATGAGGCTGAGGCATTGGAGACAAAACCCCACACACTGGCATTACTTTTTGTTTTTCTTTCTTTTCCTTCTTCTTTTTTCTTCTTCTCCTTCTCCTCCTTCTCCTCCTTCTCCTTCTTCCTCTTCTTCTTCTTCTTCTTCTTCTTCTTCTTCTTCTTCTTCTTCTTCTTCTTCTTTCTTCTTCTTCTTCCTTTTCTTATTCCTCTTCCTCTTCCTCTTCCTCTTCCTCTGCTTCTTCTTCTTCTTCTTCTTCTTCTTCTTCTTCTTCTTCTTCTTCTTCTTCTTCTTCTTCTTGTTCTTCTTCTTCCTCTTCCTCTTTGTCTTCATCTTTGTCTTCTTCTTGGTTTCTTCGATGCTTTAAGTGTGCATCTAGAGGTGTATTTTTCCAAAAACTTTCCTTGTCTTTTCACACCCCAGTTAACTGAAGTTTTTACAGATTTCTGCTGCAGTTCACACCCTATGTGTTTGAACACTCAGAATCCATTCTGCAGCTTAGTAGAATGAGTGAAGCAAAGCACAAACTGAACTTGGGGACATTACTGTGCCTTCCAACACCCTGACTCATATCTTACTTCAAAATTATGGGCTTCTGTAGCAGCTGAGTCTGCCACAGACAAATCAATTTCCTGCATTTATATCAGACAATCTCATTTCCTCTCAAGCACATTGTATCAGGTTTCTTATGGCCAAACTTGAAGAATTATTTCCAGTACATGAGAGGCTGCCACTGGCTCTGAAATCACAATGGAACATTCTTGTAAACACATAGTCTGATCTACACCCTGGGGACAGAAGCTAAGAGAGGCAGAGATGGCTGGCGCAGATAGAAACACCTCAAAATTGTCAATGAACAGCAGCAGCAAGCAGGAACCAAGTTGCTGAGCTTTCACAATTGGGTGATGGAATCATGTGGTGGATTGTGCCCTGGGTTTACTGAGGAAGCTCAGTAAATCTAGGTTGCTGCCTCGATCCCCCTTCCTTCAGTGCAATAGATACAGAAAGTCATGCACATGCATCATTTATTTGCAATTTTTCTATTGCAGTTATGAAATCTGTATTCATGAGAGTCCACATTACTGCCATAGCAGACCCACCCACGGGAATTACCACCATGTCTTGTAAAGGGTCAGTTTATTTCTACAAAATGCAGAATAATGTTCTCAGCCTTGCTTTTCCAGACATGTGCATTTTCAGTCATTTCTTGAAGGGAAGCTAAACGATTTAGTTTGAGTAAACTTAAAGTGTGTTGCTGTGCTTCTGTGTGACATCCTTGCTGCCAGAGCTGATGAAGGCAATGAGTGGGATCTGCTGGAGATTTAGCTCCAAAGGGACACACTTTGCACAGCTGTGTCAGGCAGGGCTGCCCCTCACATGACTGGCCACCCAGGCATCCAAATGCCCTTTCCCAGTGCTGTCCCTGGCTTTGGGAGGCACCGGATTGGATTGGAGATACCCAGAGCATTGGCTGGCCCTGGGGAAAAATTGTTCTGCCATGAGTTTGTCATCCTTAGCCCTGCACCTCTGTGGGTCTGGGGCCAGGGCAGGGTTTCCCCCAGCTGCAATGAACAGCATCCTCCAGACAGCTCTCCTGTGCATGCTTTAAATGGAGGCTAGGGAGGGTCCCAGTTACTTCCTGCTTCAGACAGGACTGTGAATCAAACACTTGAATATTTTTGCAGCATTCTGTGTGGCAGAAAACTCTATTCTTCATCCTAGGTGTTCTACGGAAGGTTGTGTAGAGGTCTGATGGGAGCTGCAGGACAGGACTATGTTCTGCCCCCTATGTTCTCCCCATTGTTGTTCAGCACCTGCCTTAAAAGGTGCCAGTGGATGGGGAAACAGCACATCTCAGGGATGTGTGTCTGCATGAATCAAGTTTGGGAGGCTCAGTGTTTTCTGTGCCTGTTGGCCTTGTCTGGTGATTCTCTTTGAGTTATAAAAATTTGTCATTTCCCTCACAAAATGGACTCATGAGGCCTCTTTCTCACTTGTAATAAAAACGATTTATCTGACTATTGGTTGTAAAGAAAAGTTTCCTGTTGTGGTTTTTTGCATTATTGCTGTTTTTCAAATGCAATGAATCAGCCTTTTGTAGCTCCCTTTGTATCACTGAAATCACGGAAAACCTTTTCTGACATGAAAAGATGAGTACATACACAATGGTCTCTACATTTTCCATGTAGACTTTGTTTCTCTAGGATTTTCTCTTCTATCAAAGAGCAATAGCAGCCAGTATCCTCCAGGAATGTTTGGCCAAACAGAAGCTGATGCACTGATATGAAAGACCCAGGGTAGTAAATCACAGTGAGAGAAAGGTCAGCACTGGGTGGGGACTAGCAGGAGAGAACAAGGGTATGGATGGGTCCAACACTGAGCTGAAAGCTGGAACTCAACACATGTGAAGATTCTACCAATTGACGATGTGCTTACATGTGACTCAACTGAACATATGGAAACTAATGAAATCTTAACTTAAATTATCTTAGAATTTAATGTTTCAAAGTGCTATAGATTTAAGAGTAGAAATGAAAACTGAGAGAAATGGAAGAAGCAAAGGGAAAGGGAAGCGAAGAGCAGGTGCTTTGCAGGACTTGAGCCCTAAGTGGAGCCCAGGACACCTGCCATGAAGCCAGCAACAGACCTGCCTTGGAATTCCACCAAACCATATATCTGCCCTTAGTCTTCAGGTTGTTCCTGGAGCTGCTGAGGTCATTGGAAGTGGAGCTGGCACAAGATATGTACGTAGACCTTGAGCTCAGTCCCGTGCCAGCCTTGCTTTAGAAAAATCCCCAACTGTCCTTGCTCCTTGCAGGCCCAAAATCCTCCCAGGGCCTGTCAGGGACAGCTCTGTGCACAAATGCACCCCAGGAAACCTTCCCATTCTCCCTGACCCCACTCACTTCTGCATGCCTCTGTGTTGCAGGAGGCCCCAAGTCTGAGAGTCTCTCCCCCTCTAAAGTGCCCCGTGTCCACCTCAGAAACCAACAGACACAGGCCAATTCCTTCTCACTGTAGTTCTCATTTTCAGTGAGCTAGGCTTGGCCCAACTCAGTCAGATTAAGTTGGCCTGGTTGTCCCACCTTGTTCAGCAGCTGCTGCCAGGAGCGAAGAAAGGAAACTCTGATACCAAAGAGGACAGGTGTAAGTAGCGCTATAGGTCTGTCCTCCCTCCCAAACTGTCTAACCATAATCAGCCCTCACTTGCTGTCAGAGGTCCCTAGACAGTACTGTGACCACCTGTCCTCCTCTCTGCAGGAAGCCTGAAATGCAGCTCCCTTTTCCACCCTTGTGGCCTGTTGCCTCTGTGAGAATGAGAGTGGAGTCTGCAGTGTTACTCTAATCATGGGTGCTCCACAGGGTGCTGCTCTATAACTATCTGAGAAGTGAGTGGACAGTGGGAGTGCATCCTGCCTGCCTTTCCTCCACCTTCAGTTCATATACTGATGCATCACCCCATCCTGTGAGCCTTTGTGAGTCTCCCTTTCCCCTATTTATGCCCCTGTGTACAGAGGCCAAGAGTTAGGCACATTCACCATAATAGTACCTTGTCTGATCTCCAGGGTGACTGTGTGGACTTCATAACATGGAAGCACAAGAGACCAGTGTTTGCATCTGCTCTGGTCATTGCATCATGTTCAATGCCTGGTACACTGATGATTTAAGGCATGCACCAGCTCCCTCCATGATGTCTGTTTGGAACTGGGTCATCTGGCATTCCCCAGAGAGTCTTGCTCTGCATACCATGGAAAAACATGGAATGACTTCCCAGCATCCTTCAGAGGGAAGACAACAGCTCCACCCAAGTGATGTATCCTTGGCAGGAGGCAAAGCTTCCCCACGGGAAAGGAAAACCCAAAATGAAGCCAGAGTCCCCGGTCTGAGAAGACCTAGTTTTAGACCCAACTTCTCCTTCCTACTTCCCTTGTCAACTTAGACAAGACACCATGCCTCTGAGGTCATTTCCAGTGTGTCCCCCTGAACTATGGAGGTCATATTGGCATCTGCTTCCTAGGGACATCATCAGTGGCGAGAGATGACCCTTTTAAAGCTTGTGGGGTGGTGTCATGTGTACACA